GTACGATACGATTAGGGGCCGAAGCGAAACGGTCGAGGATTCAGTTTTGGCGCGCTTGCAAATTTGGTCGACAGGGTTATTATCTATGGTACAGTACCGTACGTACAGATTTCGGACTGCACAATACCGGTACACTAAACCAAAAAATACATGCCTCGTACTACAAGGTTTATTAGTTGTTCCGTAGGGTTACGAATGTACCTGGTACCCTACGGATCAAAAGCAGAAAAAGTTGAGAAAACCCCTCAATCAACTTACCGTACGTACGGTATGATACGGTACGGTACCGTCCTTTTAGGGTCCTCCTTGCCTTGGTACGGTACGTCTACTCCCTTCTGGTACGTATCATCGTGGTTAGGTTTCAAGCCACGAGCGGGCAGGCAGAATAACAAGACTGAATTACTCAACGGTTCGTGATTCGCCTGAATTTTTATTTTTTCGATTAAACTCCTCATACCTCATACGTCATACTCTACATTCTACATACAGTACGGTGTGTAACGTACTTACGTACATACATTAGTATTGTGAAGGAAAAGGGTGCCTTTCTCGTCGATGAGATGATTTTTGAATTTTTGTGAAAGAACGGAAGCACGTTCTGTACCACCGTTAATACCATTATTACATATGATGCTTCCATACTTCCATATGTGTCTGTATCTGCTAGACATCACTTTGAATGAGGATTACTGTTTCTATTTTTTACCTGCTTTTTTGTTGGTTCCTCTGAGGCACTTTTTACTGTGTTGGTGGGGAAAGTCGTCTTTCCGTCCTCAGCTGGTGACAGGCTTCTTTGCTACTTCTCAGCAGTCGTGGAACTGGTGCTGCTTACTAGTAACAACAACAAGTTCTTTCTTAGTAATTGCTTCAATCCTGCATTGTCCAAGCAGCTTAATACCTGCTTTTAGTCCAAATATAATAGCAATATCTCTTGTATTTGTTCATACTAGAACTGATCCTTGTCATGGTTGAACTCCAGCATTGCATGGAGCATGAGGGCCTATTTGCCTGGCGCTGGTGGTCCTTCCTCAGGCTCACTGGTTAGTATGTTGTTTAGGTATCCCAGAGTTTTGAGGTGAACATATGATAGTTGGTGGTTTCCCTAGAGACTGTATGGCTGGGCCTCTGAATCCTTGCTCTCGCTATCACTGTCAGCAGACTCTTCACTGTTCTGGATGGTGTCTCCCTCGACCGCGGCAAGGCCTTCTTTATTGGTGAACACTATTTCTTCTTCTGKGCTCTCCCATTCCATTGTACCCATGCAGTCGTTTGACCCTTGCAAGGATAGCTGTTCTTCCAGGTTTTCAGCTGTCATCCCCTGTAGGTTTACTTCTGTTGGGTCAGGTACATTCCTGTTATCTTCTGTTGGGGAACCAGGCGCCTCGGTGGCACACCAGTTGTTGGTGGTTACTGAGTCTTGGGGTGTTCCATCCAGTGACTCACCATCAGTGCCACCAGCGCCTTCTCCGGCCAGTTAAGTGGCCTCCTCATCAGGTGTTGTTGCATTGGTTCCAGTTCCAGCCTCCAAGGCTGTTTCCTCTGTGTCTCCAATCACCTGACCAGTCCGGTTTCTGAACTCAATACCCTCAGGGCTGCTTTTAGCCATCTGATGTAATTGGTCTATTGCTTCACTGGGCATTGGCATTCATGTCCAGAGGTTACGGTGGATGACTCATCCTGTTTGCAGACTGTACTAGAAATAATGTCCTCTCTTTGAGTTGCTGGTCAGCCACATGTCGGCACTCCTATTGTACACGTGTGTGCTGTATTGTTGTCAGTTGGTTCAGTTGAGTGTGTTTGGCAACACCCATTGTGAGGCCCACAATCATCTCTCTTGGACTAATAGAGCTGAATATTCCAGTAGTACACTTAGTAGGTAGTGTGTTCCACCAAAACATCTGACAGTAGACCAGCTCTGTTGTGACTCTTGCAGGGAGCTTCTTGTATGGCAGGTCCATTGAATTTCCCTTACCTGTTCTTTCTTYTTAATGRTGCAAATGTAAGGCCCAACCTCTGGAACATSCTYRTCCCTGGACATGAAGTTTGGCATCAYCCCAGTTCTGACTAGTTGGACCCCAATCAGTACACACTGGTTATCCATGTTGACAGTTGTTACAGTGAACCCCTGTTTTGGGTATAAGTTGCAGGTGTTATCCATGCACTTGATGATTGTAGTTGCCTTTGAGTTGGCAATCATTTCAACTGTCCCAAACTGTATGTGCCTGGAGACAGTGATGAAGAAGTGCATGYCGTTAACATACATAATGTCCGCACCCAAAATAAACTATTGAATCTTGTACCAACACTCACTCTGGTAGTGGTTTAATGCTCACACGTGCATGATCCTCTTTGTTCCTAACTGTCTCACCTTTCAGACACACAAGGCTTGGGCCACCAAAGATCTGTTCAGCTAASCTCAAGTCAGCCCAAGTGACAGTGGCGTTCTTCAAATGGTTGTTATCAAACAGCCACAGCAGTTCCTTGGTGGGTACGTTGAGGATGTCCTGTAGCCTTCGTGCCCTTTTGGCTTGTCTTGTGTCAAGGTTCAAAAATTGCTTCCTGTTGCTCTCCACTGTTTGTATCCCATGGTTGCTAAGAACTACTGCTCTATCACGCATGTTGCTGTAATAATAAAGTCCACAGCAAGATTGTTTGAACTTGCAACACCATGTTTGGTGCACACTCACTGTACAGTTGAAACGTGTTATCAGCTGTGCTATTGTAAGTCAATTGGTTGGTCTTCCTGACCTTCTTTGAAAGGGATAGGATATTAGCTATTCCATTCTTTTAAGCCACACCAGCATTACAAAATATGTTCATGTATTGAATGACTTGCTTGATGTTGTGGAGCAGGCTTGGATTGCAATTGATATGCACTGTCAATTGGTTATCTAGTAGTAGGACCCACCAATCCTTGTTGATTTGCCATCTTGCCTGGCTGAGGATTACATTGTAATTGACCAAGGGATTCTTGTTCATTGTTCCCCCACTCCTGTAAGCGGCACTGACTGTACAGAACATGAGTTTGTACGGGTTGCCATTCCAATCTGCTCATCTGGGGCTTTGGTCTCCTTGGTAGTAGTGTTGGTGGTGTTGCTGGTCCTTGGTTCTCCTCAGCTCGTTTGTATTGCTCCACATTGACTGGGTTACAGATGTCTTTGTAGGCATAATGACCAGTCTTCCCGCATTGGTAGCAGGTTATGTTACTCTTGTCCTTTGTACAGCGTGTATTGACATCTTGTGCAAACGCCACGCCGTTGTTAGAAACGGTTGTCTTATTCCGACTGTGAATTCCCCCTTTCTGCACATGCTTATAGTTGATGAGGAGCTTGTGAGCTTCAGTGAGATTGTTTGGGTATTTGTTGTGCCCCACGAGGAAGTCATTCTCCAGGTTAACCTTGATGTCAGCATACCTTCCATGGTTTGCATTTTTTATGTAAATGGTTACCACCACAACAACTACTACTAGTAGTATTAATGCAAAAGAACAACATGGGAAGAACATTAATTTGTGTGTGCTGGCTGGTGGTTACTATCATTATACTACTAGTACTAGTACAAGAAGAAAAAGCATAACTTCTTGGTGCAGAGTCCAAAGAGGCATGTTATCTGCAAGTAGCTATTGACGCAAAAGTTCTCAGCAGTAAAATTGAAAACGACCATTTGACAGATAATTGTCCGGTTTGCACCTGCAAAGTTGGATGGAACTCAATTTATTGGTGATTTCTATATAACTGACTCAATTGTGATTCTAATTCAGCGCTCGTTGAAACTGTTGGATCTAGTTATATCGATGACATTAATGTGGCTTTCAAAAGACACTTCATACAGAGACATAGACTCGGCGACAGGATAACATTTCAAAATCACTTCTATCGACAGAAATCACATTCAATACTACAGGGCATGTCACATCCCAGTCTACTCTTGAGTCTTTTCCCTGTCYGAATCACCAGCATTAATCCACTTTCTTGGCCGTGCGTGGCTTCTGCATTCCTGTGGGTCCATCCGGCAGCTTCAGTGTYCCCCAGAACCGATCGCAGAAAGTAAAGATCTGCCCATAGTTGTAAATGTAGTGGGTGTGATGAACCGTGTGGTACTTGCTTCCCATAATAGGGTCCACGTTCCAGTCCATAGCATCATGAATATAAGTTGCCCAAATGGCGGTGAAAAAGACCATGCAGATGTGGGTCATGTAATGGCATGGGATGAAGGGCAAGAGATAAACGTATGGACTTGCTTGCAAAATACCATCCAGCGGGTGGAAGGCAATCGACGCCCACGGGGTCAGCGTTTCGGGTTTGTTGTAATCATGATGTTTCAAGTGRATGTGCTTATAAAGGAACTTGTTCGTATGAAGGGTGCGATGCATCCAATAAATTCCGATCTCGACGCACGCAAAGTARAAGGCCATGATCCCAACGTGAGGCAGCCACCCACCGATTTCATCCACCGTAAAGTAAACTTTCGTCAAGCCAGATTCGATCATCCATTCGTCAAACACGGGTAGCATTGTGTAGATGGTAAGGGAAGCTTGGGACAATTTTATTTGGCCCTTGATCGTCTCCCAGCTGGGTCGTGTTCTCCCTTGTTCTTCGAACGTTTTTTTGGACATGGGATGAACGTAACAAAAGTAGTGAAAGGAACCTGCAGTTCCGTAGTATACGAACATGCCAGCGATGAAGTTTCGTAGGTAACACAGGAGGTAATGAGCGTACTCAACATTGTCGTTTAGTAAATGCACGAACCACGCAGCGACRTTGCTGGAAAAGAAAATTGAGTTGACCCAAGCATTAAAATTACGGCAAGGGTTACCCAGCGGGTCGTTGTCTAGAATAGCCGCATATGCGTTTTGGTAAGTCCTTCCGTCTGCTAAGGTAATTGACGCATCGGGATCATTCTTCGACATCCGATCGATCCACCCGACCCCGGGGAAAGGAACTGCGAGTCGTGGTTGGTGGTGTTTTGTTTCGCATTATTTTGGATGCGGGGTGTGTGAACAAAGGAGAATAAGTGATTGCAATGAGTACCCGGTGCAATTCAAGCCAAATCTTGTTCAAAAATGCAACACACAGCAGAAGTGTTTCGCTGGCTCGATACTCACTGGAAGCAGTGTCCAATCCACCGGATGTTTCGTCAGCCATTAGCGTCTCATTGTTCCGCTCGAACAATCCGGCGCAACACACCGTGAAAGCCGCAAAGGACACCAACAGCGACAATTCTGCTGTTTGACGTGACACAGAAAAGACCATGTTAATTCTATCTTTTTCGATGGAAACAATGCCGAAGCTGTTGTCTTCCAGTTATTCGAMACCTGGGCAAGGAGGGGAAAGGCAGGGACGATGGTGGCGGATGAGAAAGACTTCGGTTTGAACGCAGCAAGAGCAGGCTCGATGGACGAAGCTTGCAAGGCTTAGGGGTGAGCTCTACTACTCTTCCCTACCTACGACCGTACTGGAATGCCGAAGGCAAAAACGAAAACTCCTTTCTATCGAGTCACGGAGAGAGAAAAAGAGCTGAAATAAACCCATTTTGGTTTGTTTTGGTTTGTTTGCCGCTTGGTGCTAGAGAGTTTGCCAGCCAATTTATATATGCCCCTGTCGATCATGCGCGTTTCGGCTACAGTTGGTATTGGAACAGTTTCCGGTGCCATACAATTCTGAATGGACTCATTGGACTACTCCGGTATCTCAGCCCTCGGGAGGCCGGAGCAGCGTAAAATCTTTTGGACAAGGAGTACGAAGTGATTGGATCCTTGTGTGCGCGCGTTGGTTGCCATCGCAACGAAAGCACAGAACCAGAGACGAGAGCGATGGTTGTTCTTCACCTTGGCCATCGCTGCATCTGGCAAATTGCCCGAGGTGGACCGAGAGGCAATCAAATCCATCAATGTCAGGATCACTTGTCGAAGGAGCTGCAAGGAAGGTCGCCCTGATTATGGGCATCGCCAACCAGCGCTCAATCGCAATGGGTTGCATGGAAACATTTCTGCGGAAGGGTGACTGGGATGTGATACTGACCGTTCAAAACGAACGAAACCAATCCAAGCTACGAAAACTTCTCGAAGGCAGGAGTCACAACGGCGGTGGCGGAGGAGGCAGGATATTGGGAGAATTCATTTGTGACGTCACCGATCCAAGGTCCACCGACTTGTTTTTTCACGAATGTTTGCCGGAGGCTCTCGACCGGTCGGATCGAACCCTCCGATCGGTGATTCATTCCATTGCCTTTGCCCCCGATCTGCGAAAGCCCTTGCTGGAAACCAACCGCGAATCCTTTCTAAACGCCCACGAAATTTCTGCGTATTCGCTGATTCAGGTCGCCAGAGAATCAATTCCGTACCTCGGAAGGAATGGTCGTCAAGACGTCGTAGTAAACGAAAGCGATAGCAGCAGTGCGAGTGGCAGCATTACAACACTGTCCTATCTGGGTGCCGATCGAGCCATCCCGGGCTACCACTCGATGGGTCCTGCGAAGGCTAGCTTGGAGAGCACCGTTCGTGGGTTGGCATTGGAATTGGGCCAGCACAGAACAACGAGCGGGCCGATTGTCCGAGTCAATGCCGTCCGGGCCGGACCGATCCCAACACTCTCCAGCAAGGGAGGGATTCAAAACTTTGAGCGCATGCGTTGCGATGTGCAACGCACGGCACCCCTTGGCAATGTATCGGTCTCGCAAGTGGCTGCAACGGTCTATCACGTGGCTGCCGAAGCAGACGGCATGACGGGACAAACGATCGAAGTAGACGGGGGTTAYTCGGTGGTGGCGGGGCCACCTGTACTGCCAACTGATAAYGCATGAATCATTGGCTACCCATAAGATTGAGCCGCGCGAAGATTGGGCTAGACACGCATACAACGATGCCCAATGCAATATAGAAATTGGAAGACTTCCCGAGTCAGAACCAAATTTTTAAAACGACAGAAGTTGTACGATGAGGCACTCTGATCCACATTTTTGGAGGAAGCCGTATTCCCGATTGGAAGTGGTAGGCACGATGAGTTGTATTAGAAACAGCTTCGTCCGTGTTGTGCGCGTATGTTGATACTAAAGGGTACGAGATTTGTAACGTTGTATGTAATCTTCTGTTATGCATCACCTTTATATAGAGCACGAAATCCGAAGCTTCATGCTGTGGTAACCTGAATTTAGACTTCCTTCCCGCGAACTTGATTTGGTGCAAACACTACTAATACCTTGTGAAATGGTATATTCACGGGGAGGTCACATATATGAGAGTGAAACGTTCACCACCAGCGTGAATTAATCAGTCTCCGGCATTCGTGAATATCCACGGCGAACGTATCGTGATCGCAAGCCTTGAAGAGTCTGGTACTTCGACTTCTCCGACCGACTTTCTTGACTCCTACKACTCCTTCGCGATAAGGATTTCCCTGATGGAGTCGTCACAACTTCCGCTGAACCAGCACGATCTCGTCCAGCGGAAGATGCTAGAGAAAGTTGTTGTTSGTCGTCAGTGAGCATGCCCGACGAATGTGCATGCGATCGTGCCGAAGAGACACCTCTGCGTTTGATCTTCTTGAGTCTCGACGCTCGTTTTTCGTTGTCGCCACTCAACTTTTGAGCCAGCTGCTTCTCGAGTCTTTTGATATCTCTTGACGACAAAGTCTGCAAGTCCGCGYCATCAGTTCTAAATGATTTTAGCTTTTGGGACAGTTTCGACTCGATTCTCCTGATTTCTCTGGACCGTTCCAAGTCTTCTTGCACACCGCCTCTTACTTGTCGCAGTTGCCTTTCGATTTTCTGTTCCAGCTTCAACAATTTTTCAGAAGCTGAGAACACATTTGTTTGACTACTCTCGATAGAATTTGGGTTTGCAGTAGTTAGTGACTCTTGGTCGTCGCGTTCATCGCTGAATCGGTGGCTATTCATTGGATAATCGACGTTTGTTAGATCAGCAGCAACAATTGGTTCACTTCGAATAGACGTCGACCTTGACCTTGATGGCGTTGATGGTCTGTTTCGACGATCTGTTGTGCGGCTGTGCTGGTTTCGACCTTGCAATTCATCGTATGGACCTCTCGACAATGTATCCCCTACGTAGCTGTGAACAACTATGGGGTCGTGACTGTTCGAAAAAGTTCTTTGCTTATTCGAGGCTCGATTGGAAGAACGCATCCTTTGACCTTCTTCGATGCTTCGAACGGCTACGAGGTCTTTCGATCGAGATGGTAAAAGTGAAGCACTTCCAGGATCCATTGATCTRTTTCTAGTAATCCTGTCACGACTCGAACTTCGGCTCTGCATGATTTTCGTCCGCATTTCAGGAGATGGTGGAGGGTTTCGTCCGGTGCTCTGTGATCTTGGAAAAACCTGCTTGCCTACACCATCAAGAGAGTCCGTRATACTGGTCCCATTTTTGGATAGCATTTTATTGCGAGAAATCATCACGGCATCTCGTAAACGTCCCTGCCGACGATCCAAGAAAGCCTCTCGTGCTTTCGGGTCATCGAAAATGTCATCGGAAGGCTTWTGCAATTTCATCCGTTCTTCATTCCAGACATCTTCAGCTGATTCCATGACCGTATGGTTTTGRGGTCTAGAGTTCGTCAATCCAAGTGCCTTTACTTTTTKCATCAATTTCGCTTCTTCTTCGATCCATCGCTCTTCCATACTTGGACTATTCATTGGGTGCAAGGCACGATTGCTATTCATTGATCGCCGCGAAAATTCATTCGAATTTTTCCCAGTTGCYGTTCCCTTCTCAACATCATGTCGAGCAACAGGAGTCCAAGAATCTTCATCATCTATACTCAAATTCAAAACATCAATTATTTCGATATTATTCGACGTCGATGCCCCATCGCCAACTTCCTTCTGGTTTTCATTCGAGGGAGTGCGCGCAAAGTCCTCATTTTGACTTGTAGATGACAAAACCACCATGTCTGAAGGATTTCTGGATATCTCCTCGACTGGAATTGGCGATACGTTAYCGTTCCTATTTGTCTCAAGTCCGCTTGTMWTTTTATCACCAAAAGAAGGTGGTGAAGGTAGTGTAACATCTTCCTCGGATGCAWCTTCGTCCTTCGAACGTTCTTCTCCCTCGACTTGCGATGCAGGTGCTTCTAGGTTGGAATAGTTCTCGGGATAGTMATCGGCGGGTTGGYCTTCACGAGTGGCTACTGCCTCTGATTCAGTGGGAGGATCACGTTTCACGCTTCGGTCTCTAGTAGAAATGCCCGACATCTGAGCACTGATCTCTATGCCKTCTGCTTCGATTCCTCTTTCCATGGGTGGAGGAGCTTCAATATTTTTGATAACTGGATCATCTTCGGTTTTGCTCTCTGTCGCAGGAACCATTTTCTTCTCACTAGCTTTTTCGGGACGATCCTCCTGTTTCACGTTGGGTTCGTCTTCATCATTGTGACTTACTGCAGCTTCTTCTCTTTTTACTTTCATTGACTTCGAAGAATTCTTGTTTCTCGTTTTTTCGGTGTCTCGAACCTTCCTGACGTCAAAATCATCCTCCAGTTGGTAAGATTCTCTTGGTTGAATCCGCATCATTTTGATTTCGTCACTTCTTCSGGCGTCGGTCTTAATGTCGCTGTCTTCGACGTCCTCGATAYCTCTCTCGCCATGTTCACACACGCTTCGATCTTTCAGACGAAAATTTCGACGCTTTTTGGCCGACATGGTCAGTTTGGAAGTAGGTATCACCGCTGATCTTTGGTTGAAATTGGGCCGTGGTTTGCCTCTGCTATGACGAAGCAAAGAAGTCTGCTTCCTAGAACACATATTTTGGTAAGTCGAGACTGGACGATCTAGGCAACCACAGGCTGTATCAACCCATCCATCACCAACCATTGCTTCTGATCCTAACGACAAATAGTCGTCATCGTCATCTATGAAAGAAGCATCTTCATCGAGCACTTCTGACATCTCACTCATGTAAGAAGTGGTKCCGTAGGTACCAGAGTAAGTCGACTCGGAGATTATAGTTCTTTCGTGACGGGAAGAGTTGTATTGACTTTCGTATTCRTCATCGTCATCATCAAAACTGTCGTCCATAGTTTCAGCAATGGTGTATCGATCATGRCCCGTTTCCGTGATATCGGTGGTGCTAGATCGCACCATTATAGACGACATGGTCGTTCTATACAGAACAGATGATTGTTCAATATRTTCAATATATTTGTTCGAATGAAAGATAGCGTCGTATTTTTTAGATTACTAGCACTCGATTAGTGGCAACGGATAACGACGAAGCATAAACTCCCGAGGCATCATCCGATCATGATCCCCGCTTGCTCGGACAGATACGGCTGTGGCAATACGCCGCCTTATCGCAATTGCGATTTCCGTTCCGAGACATCTAACGCAGGATTTCTAGAGAAGATCTTTGTTAGGATAATTACGGTTCGCCAGAGAAAGTACGATTCAGCGACTGAGTGAAAGCGTTGGAGGAGGGCTGGTAMGAGCAACGGTCGTAAGTAAAATAGGTACTTAGCGAATCACGACTCTAAGTACTTCTATCCATTATGGTACTCGTATTTGAAAAACCACGGAGAGTGAAGAATTCGTACCTCCTGGTAGGAGTAGGAGGGCTGGGTACCGTACGTACGAGTAGTACGTAGAATAGAAGATACGTAGAATAGAAGATTCCTCACCGGTCGTGCCCGTCKCCGAACTTTTTGGGACAGAATTAGACCTAAAAAAGTTGCGCAACCATCGAACTGAGACGGAATCTTTGTGGAAAAACACGACATTTGTTTTCAACGAGGAACAGAAACAGAAACCATGTTGTATTTTGTTTTGCTTTTGTATCCGTTTCTGACCTTACTATCTTCCTAAAACCACCACTGCAACACAGCAGCCCATGTAGTTGCAGACAAAACACCGGCACGACAATGCACCCGCTKGTTCGGAGTTTGTACAAGGAAGCGCTGCACGTCGGAAGAGACTATCCGCTTGGCTTGGACAGAGTTCGGAGGGAGTGGAAGAAAGCCATCCGCAATCCCCAAAATTGTCCGTCTTGTTACAGCATCGTGCGCCGGGAGGGAGACGGCGGTTGGGAAAGGGATCTCGGCGAAAACGACGCCGTGGTGTCTTCGGAACCTCCCACGCTTGCCATTCCCAAACCCATGCACTCGAAAGAGCACCCCAATCCAGACTGCGAACGAGAGTTGCGAAAGGCGGTTGGAAAGGGCCGGTACATGATACGAGAAATGATTGGCGTGATTCAGCTCAAGAAATACCGGAGTCTGAAACGGCGATACGGCAATGACSACAATGGTGGCATCGATGGACTGGACAAAGCCCACGCCGGAGATTTTGWGGAAACCGGGCCTAAGAAGCCAACGCAAAACCATTGAGGAAAGCACACCTCTTGCATGTATGTAAACTAGACAACTCCGACAATACAATTTTGCTTCTCGTCTAGACATGGGGCATCCTTCGAAGCAGCCTAATATTTCTGGATCCCGATCGGACCTTCGGTGAGGAATGGTTGTGTCGAAGGACCGGGAGCATTGCATGGTAATATGCTTGTTCCAATGGAACATGGCCCCAAACCTCCAAACGCACAATTYGAGTTTCGCTGCAAGCACCATTGCAGAGCAAASAAAACAACGCGTTCGTCATAAGACACGACCGGGCAACGKTATAGWGGTGAAGTACTCAGCAGTCCGCTGGATGGGAAATCATAGATTGTCCATTGTAAATTTGTGTTGCCTCTTATTCGCACGATTCCCCTAGCCATCCGTTTATGGATGGAGTGGGGTGGTAGACCCGGCCGTACTATATTGTTGAAATGGTGCACGGATACAATTATCTCGAATTATCTCGATCCATCCCTCCGGTCTTTTTCGCTCCTGAATTCCTCATCCCATAGCTCCATTGCGATTTCCTCGGACGATTTCGTCGGTGTGTCGTCGTCGTCGTCGTCGTCGTTTTCGTCGTTTGTTTCCGGACCTTGCCCGCCGCTGGAGAACAACGCATACCCCAGGACGAGTCCAGCGGCGGCAGCGGCCACCAGAAGCGGCGCGCCGGTCCGCGACACCGCCCCCGCGGCGGGCGCCACAGCCGGCGCCTCGGAATCGAGGGGTGCCAGGATGCCCGCCGACACGAATGCCCCGAGGCCGGCAAGGGACCACCTTGCCACGAACGAGCCGCCGCCGTGTTCGGCCTCGCGTTCGTCCGCAAGACCGCCTTGCTCGCCGCCGAACGGATCTCGGAAGCACCATTCCGACAGAACCGAGAAGAGTCCCAAGAGCCCGAGAAACCACGCCCGGSCGGTCGGGTTGGGCAGGACCGCCAGCGGGGGCACGGAAGCTGCCAGCAGCACAACGACCGTGGAAACCGGCGGKGCTTGGTTCGCGCCGGMTTTTCCCGTGTCCAAAAACAGGGCCCCGTCCACCAGCTTGTCCAGAAACGACGCCTCTCTCGGCTCCCGGACGCGGCGCTCGGTGCCCGGGCTCCGGTCCTTCCGTTCGTCGTTGCCTTCGCCGTCGTCGTCGTGCCCGGCCATCCGGAGGAGGACTCGCCGGGATCTCGCCCGGCGTTTGCCGTTGTCGTTGCTGCTGTGTCTGTCTCTGTGTCTGCCCCCGGGCCACCACGCACCCGCGCCCGGATGCCCCTGCCACGGGGGACCGCGGTGGGGTGGGTCACGATCACCGTCGCCGTCGCCGCCGCCGCCACCCTCCGGCCGCCAGGGCAGCGCCGTGTTCCGGCASCGGATGGTCCCGCATCCGTGGGGCGTGGGGTGGAGTCGCACCGGGGATTGAAAGAGGGCCACGCCGCAAGAGGTCGTCGTCCGCATCGAATCGAGCCAGCTCCAACRCAACCGGTTCGGGTTGTGGCAAGTTAGCCGTAGCAGTGACGGGCCAAAACGAAGGAACAGGACGACGGTAAAAAAATAGTATCTTCTACGGTAGTACAGTACGTACGTACTATTAGTATCACTCGCACAACGAACTCGTACAATGASTTGCTCTGCGCTGCACTACTACTAGTTCTTACTGTATTGGTAGGAGTTCCGGATCGTATGTACGAGTACGAAATGTTGGTCCTACGGGTTCCCGGGTCCGTTGTACGAGTACCAGGCCATAAAAGAACACGTGCTTAGTCCTATCCTGATCGGTTGTTCCTCGTTGATAATGTACGAACTGGATAATGTACTGGACGGACTCCCTAGCAACGAACAGTACGAGTTCTCGTACTTGCCGCGCTGTATGCAATGCAATGCTGGTTTGATGATTTTTGATTTTTGGTAGATACCGCACATCTAACGTCTTGAAAAATTGTGCTTTTCCGTACAGGAGCGGAGCGGAGGAGTCGTACCGTTCTAGTAGTCACCGACCGTACCGTACAAAGCCGTTCCGTAGGGAAACGGCCTGTTTCTGGTCGACAAAAGGGACACATCGACTCTATCTTTTTTTTTCTTCCGACCGACACCGGCCGCCATCGAACACGAACGCATCCACAAGCATCGCAGCGCACCGCACCGCATTGCACACCAGCACCCCTTCCCCGTGACCTTCCACCATGTCGGCAGCGTGTGCGACACCGCAAGCGATTGCTCCGTCCGAGGATCCCGGCCGCGAGCAGAGCACCCATGATCCCTTGTCGGTCTCGAGCCGCAAGAGCATCCTGGCCGACGACAAGAGCAGCCGCGGCGAGGAACCCGGCGGCGGCAACGAACCCAGCGACGTCCCGGGCGCCAAGCAACGAAGGCCTTCCAAGGGCAGCGAACCCGCTGCGGGGGCGAACGAATCGCCCTCGTCGTGCAGTTCCCTGCACGCCGAGCCRCCCGCCCAKGGGGAGTCGTCCTTTCTGGAAGGCGGGACCCGGGACGACAGCKGCCGGTCCRGAAGCAGCCGYACAAAACCGAGYGCGGCGCAGACGCAGACGCAGCACTTTTGCTCCGAGATGCTCAGGGTCGGTGTCTGCCAGACGGACTTTGCCGAGCAAATGGACATTTTCATGCGCTGCCAGCACCCCCTGGACATTCTGGGKATGTTCCAGGACGAGGACGACGACAAGRCCGACAGCATCAACGCCTCGGAACACCACRATGGGGAGGGAGGAAAGGTGGTGGTGGCTTCGGCCCCGCGGGCCAACAAGACGAGCGGCTACCACGCCATACCCCGGTCCTGCGAGTACTGCGGATCCCCCGACATCGACCTGTGCGAGGACTACAGCCACAACACGTGCGAGCGGCCAAAGTCCTTCTTTCCGAGGGAGATGCCGCCGTTTTTCCGCAAGTCCTGCGGAACGAAGCTGCCGTGGGGAGGCGGCGGCGGCGGCGACGACGAGAAGGAGAACCGCTTCGSGACCGTCTTTGGCGTGGCGGTGGCGGTGGACCCGGCGGGCAAGACCGGGGACGCGGAAGCGGAGGATGTTGGCGGCGCGGGACCAGCGAGGATGGCGTGCTCGGCCTGGGTGTAACGGAGCAGAGCGAGGCCAAGCCCAACCAAACCAAACCCGCACCGGGGAAACAGATCGAGGTCCGCGCTCGGCCTTTGAACAGAATAGTGTATAAGGGATAGTAGTAYGCTATTAGGTACTTCTAGGACAGGTGATTTGATTCGAGCACCAATTYGCAGTAGGAATATCGAAGGATCGAGCGTCCTTTTGCAAAAAGGCGGCGTTCGCACCGGAGATTGGTATGGCGAGTTGCCGGGGGGGGGTTGGAGGTCTGCAACCGATGATGCTCTGCTTCTACTAGTCCTAGCAATACTGTATTCGGCCCCCCCCCCCCCCTTCCAAGCAATGATGCCAAAACGTTGCAGTTTGCAAGCCAACAGTGGCAACAAAACAAAAAGAAATTGGGTTTCCAACACAACAGGTGTGTAGAAACTAACCAAGAACAGGATCAATGATGCGATGCAATTGACCTACTAGTAGTAGTAATACTGCTACAAGCACTAGTACTATTGCTATTAGTAACATCATGTTTTCTTGGTAGCTTTGTGTTGGGAACAAGAAGGAACAACAAGCAAGCATGATTGAATGAGAGTGGCAATGAAATTCTCAGACACTTTTGCTACTAGTAGTAGTGTTACTAGTAGTCCTACTAGTTGCTCAAGGCAAAGGATACGTGCTTTGGCAACACTGAAGTGTTGTAGTGACAACAAGATCACTTGGACGTACTTTGGCTAATGCTGCCCGAATTCGTGCTCGCACGTTCGGTTTAGTGTTGTCCGAAAGACTCGGCGGTTCTTTAGGGGACACGGGAAATTCCATCACACCATGATCTCGTTTCACGTAGAAGCACTACGGGGTGCATACGTTACGGTTGCGGATACAGTAGTAGTCGCGCAAGTTGTAGTATCACGCGGTATGTTRTAACAGTACCCTACGTACTTCTTACGCACGAAGTTCAACGTCGAGTAGTACTGTACAGTATTTCCGATTTGTGTAACAGGTAGGTACGACTACCGGTTCGTACTGAACCGCAAGGTAGATGAAGAAAAAAGTACGGTATGAACGCTAAATAGTGAGCAGAAAMAGCTCTGCCAACGCGGGGACGGCGTTTAACGGCTGATTTGAATCTTTGAAATTACGGTACGTACCATACGTACTACGATGGTTTGTCGTTTGGACCGTTTTTATAAGGTATGTTCCTGATAGTTCCCGTTGCAATTAAACTTTTCTTTGTAACAATACTGTAACGATTGAACAATCCAACAACAAGCATTCCGTACGTACCAAGAACATCCCAACAAACTTTTGAAAAAYATATCGACCATGCCGTCAAAGAGCAGAGAAAACGCCCGCTCTACCGACGGTAGCAGCGATGTCGACAGAGAAAGGACGGGGGACCAGAGCAGCACGATCACGAGCCTGCTGATCGTGATTCTCTCCCTCGTGTTTGTCGTGATTTTCGGTGGATCCCTCATCGGCGGCATACTCAGCGGGGATCCCAGCAACGTCTTCTTCATCACGATCGTCGCGGCCTCGGCCTTTGCCATTTCCGTTGCGCTGGGCGTCTCGGTTCGATACGTTCTCACGCAGCGCTCGAAAAGACAGCRGGCTGAACACGGCGACGACTATTTCGCCAAGGACAACCACGTGAGAGAAACCTTCTCGGGCAGCAGCGACGAGGAGAACCACCTGTGCGCGAACAACCGACCCTCCGACTACGACCCGCGGGACGGCCACTATCCCCCCATCGAGTCCGAAATCAAGGAGATCGAGGCGAAGAGCGTGTTTGGTGAGATGAGCGCACTGAGCCCCACGACCTACGACGGAGGCTCTCTCTCGACGTACCGCCACCACATCATCCGAGACAACCACCRTCGGGGGTTCGACTTCTCCAGCATCACCTCGGCCAAACACGGAGACAACGCTAGCGGGCGCCAGGACCCTCCGGAGGGCACTGGTCTGGCAACCATCCAGGCAGCCTGGAACACACGAGCCGTCTCTCGGGAGCCATCGGCTCCGAAGTTTTCGACCGAGGGAGAAACCATTGYGGACAACGACTATTCCAAGGACGCCAACGACGACTGCGACGAGAAATCCAGTMGGTCGCGAAAGAGTGCAAGATCTCGGGGCGATCTCGAAGAGAAATCGGTCAGAACGGAACGATCCAAATACAGCCAGCGCACCAAGAGTAGCAGCAAGTCTCGTTCCAGGTCCAAAAGCCCATCGAATCTYCGCAACGGAAAGAGCCCCGCAAACTCCGAAGCGAACTCATTCTTTAGYAGTGGCCGAAAAGAAAAGGTGCGTCGCTATGTGTAGATCGAGGAAGATGAATACCAATTTTTGAAATTTTCCTGTTCTGACAACTTTTTTTAAAATAAATTTTTGATTCACACAGGAGGCTACAGTACATCCTGTGCCTCCAATGAGCACAAGGYCTGGAGCGACGAGTTCAGTAAAACCTTCTGCAGTACCCTCAACGCCTGCAGCAAGTGAGGCCGGTAGCTTCGCCAGTAGCTTTATGGGATTGTTTGCAAAGGGTAAAAAAACTGCTTCGGAAGCAGGTTCAACTAGTATGAGTAGCTCTGACAAGTCGAAGACGGAGCCAAAAGAAAAAGWTCCTGATGGAAAAAAGAAAGATCGTAAACCACCGATGGTACGACCACCTATGATGCCTTCGAACAAAAAAGGAGGTGATGGCCTGCAAAGTGTTGGTCTCACTGGACCATCTGTTTCGACACCGTCAAACAACAGCACTTTTACCATTCCCCCACCACGAGTGGTACCRCGAACGCCAGCTGGTGGCGATGGTTTCTCGGAATTTCAATCAGTGGTTGAGAGCACTTACAGCAATGGAGTTGCATCCTCAACCTTCGATCCCCAAGCTCGAGAAAGGGCATTGCAAAARCTTCGAAGAAATCAAGCTGCGATAGGAGCAGCTCCAATAGGGGCTGSTCCGTTAGGGGCAACTCCTGTAGATGCTGGTGACATGCCGATATACTACACTGATGACGATGATAAGGCGTCTTCTGTGGGGGGTAACTCAGCCGCTCAATTAAATTCCTATGACGTCTTCGCACCACCGGGTGCTCTTGGCATCGTTGTAGATACAACTGATAAGGGTTGTATCGTGTATTCATTGAAGAAATCCTCCCCGATGTTAGGGCTAATGCATAAGGGACATCTGATCATCGGCTTGGACAATTTTGACGTAAGAAATATGACTGCATCGTCTTTGACGAAGCTGATGGCCAAAAAGTCGGATCAACAAGAGCGCAAATTCACGCTGGTACCCAACAATTAAATACGATTTAACTCGTCCGATGCCAAGCCGACAATGGTATGCACGATATTTTACCGGTTCTGCATCAAGACTGAGAAGTACAGAAATACTAATTCCAGATAATTATATTCGTATATGTAAACTGTAAAAAGGATACTTTGATATTTTGACTTGACTTGTGAAAAGGATTCAGATGTAGCTACGACGGAGGTGGAAGTCTACCGTGAAGACGAAAGTACTCGCTGCGAATTTTCTTTTGCTCCGTTGCACTCTTTTCTTTGTCGGGGGAAGCCTGCTTTGACAAAAGTTTCTTCTGCTTTTGTCGTTCTCTGCGTCTCCCGCTTTTCGACTTTTTGCTATTTGTATCGCTTTGAGTCGCTCCGGTAGGGACAGGTTTGTCTCCATCATCGGGTTTACTTTCTATCTTTTTTYCGTTCCGTTTTGTTGCGYTTTTCGACGGGATCGTTTCTGCCTCTGCTTTTTGTTTCCCCTCTTTCACTGACACGGAGGGTGCAAACAAATGCGCCATGCAAGGTGCTATGATTYTTGTAGGAAGCATCTCKTCGGGTGGAATGTGCCGATACTCTATGATCTCTTCGCTTTCGTCGTCGTCGTCTTCCCCTACGAAAGCCATTTGGCAAATTCTTTTCGCAGGTAATTAGAACGTGCACGGTGCGAGTTAGAGGGGAAAAGTATGCAAGGAATCAATCTTCGTTTGTGAGGAAGGATATAACGGCACCGAACCTATCGAAGTCAAGAATRAGGAGCAAACGCTTCAGACATACRCCGCAGCACGAATGGATGGCACTACTCACTCGGATCGCTTCCACACACTTATAGAATCCCGAACATGCAACCAGTTGGGAAGCTGAATTTTTGCAATGCAATGGAATTCCGAAGCGAGTCGTTGTTGGAACTCCGACGAGGAAGATCTTCCCCATGGAGACTGCTCCATGTTGAGTGTTGCGTCGAAAAATGCTAGTTCCCCAACGTGTATGACATAGTTGCCTTTGTATTCGTTGAGGCACTGCCACCCAAAGGACAATGGTGACTGGTCTGCTGCTTCGATGGAGTAATCTCCACTGCTATCGTCCGGTCGYTCAGCTGGAAAATCTTCTTCGTCGGGGTAACACAARAATAGAGTTTTGTCTTTCRTTTTCGAAGATTTCAAGACTTCGGGACCCCCTCTTCGCACGACCAACTCGACGCTCTCGGATACAATTTCATCGGATTTGCTCCGCTTCCGTTTGTTTTTGCTGGAATTCGTTGCTTTGGCATCGTGCGTGATCTTCCCTCCTTCTTGGACGTTCCTATCGTACGCCACTACATCGATCCCTCCCATTTGTTTCATGTATTTGGCCCAGTATGCGTTTGAACCGCTCCCGATTTCCACAATGGGGGAAAATTCTCGAAAGATTGCGAGGCATTCCTTGGTGGGTGTCGCCCAAGCGTATCGATTGACAAGATCTTCACCAATATCGGCCTGATTCATCCATAGCTCGCCCCGTCGTTCAGAGTCAATATGCGATGGCGAAAAGTAGTGTTCTCGCTCTTTTTGTGTCAGAGAAGATAGGAAGGATTGTTGCTCCTCGTACAGAGGATTGTTTTTGGCATCGGTGTTCAACTTGAGCWYATGGTCATTTGTAGCACATTCTTCCTTGACCTTTGTAGATTCTGACRAGCCAAGAGACSCCTTTCGCTTTTTGTTTTTCCCCATGAGAGCGGGTTGGTTGCAAGAAAATGTTTTGCTTTCTATTGTTTCTTCCTGAATCGAAAGTAAACAATAMTACTACTAGAAGTAGTTTGGATCGCGGAGAGCGACKGAAGTCGAAGATGTCAAAAAAGAACGAACGGTACATGCAAAACCAAGAAAAATCGATCGAGACAAAATCAAAGCAAAACAGAGGATCTGACGGACGGACGGAAGAATGAGAGAAAGAGCTGGAACAAAACTAAGTTAGTCTCCAACTGATTAAAGTTTGGTACAGTCCGTGTTACGTACKTACAGTACGTCTGCAGTACGTACGGTACGCACTCTCGCAAACTGGTAGTCTTCACGAAGATCCTGGTCGAAATCGGAAGCCCTCCTATGTTGAAGTACTGTACTGTATTGTTGGCTGTTAAATCATTTCTTAAATGTTGACTTTCTAGCAGTTTAAAATGGCATGATAAAAATAAAGGTCATTACAGGAAATGAATGACTAGGCTTATGTGCACTAAATGATACACGCGATATTTATTGGGATTCCAAATTCCAAAGATGGGCTATAAAATGTAATTCAAGCCAGCCTGCCCTGCCATTTGTACCTTTGAAAGTGATTCCCGATTGCATGCGTTGATATATGTTTAAGGGAATGAACCATTGAATAGAGTTCCAGATGTAATCAATAACTTGCAGAATGACCAATTATTGGTATTGACTTCACTATTTTTAARGTCATAAACTATAGCCCGAGAAAGCGATCCCACCAGCATGAATATGGTTCTCAAACGCCAAGATGACAAATTCAACCTGAAGTAAAGTACCGTACAAACGGCAGTAACRTGCACTACAATAAGCAGGACAAAGACAAAACAATTCCCTTTTAGAAAAGAAGTACAGTAAGAATCTCGTACGTTCCAGTACTATCGCTTGGGGATATCGAACTCGGGGGACCAAGCGCAACAATTAATTTCCGCGCTAGTGAGGCGACTRCACTTCCACCCTAATTTTGTTCTGTTGAGAATCCAGAAGTACGTMATTCGTTTTGGCATAACCACCCTTGCGCCAGAGAGCAAGCATAAACCAGTATCCTTTACCGAACAGGAGTGATATCTGTGCCGGCTACGCACGGGAACAATTGTAGTAATAACTGGGGTCAATACGGTTCTCGATTTKAGTTCACACTGCAATGATGGGAGCGAAGACGTCCAGAATCGTTGCAACCAAAAGCTCCGACGCAGTAGATGATGGAGGCGAAYATTCTTCGAGCGATGAGGATCAAGATATGGCTACGTTCCTRCAAGCTTCGGCCAAATTATCATCCAACAAAACTACCAGCTCCCCCCCTCTCAATTATATCACGCAGCTTATCCTTGAAATGGAAAACTCGCTCGTCGCCCTCGAAGCAAAGGACCTCGCYATTCCAAAACTTGAGAAAATGGCTGTTTTTATATACGAGTCCATGTGCATTAGTGCGCGGAATTATCACAGCGTTCAGCACGTATTTGATATTATTGCTCACGACCGGCGCCTCGGAGATAATCCCATCGCTGTTTTAGCAGCCTGTTTTCACGATTGTATTTACTACCACGTCGATGGTGGGTTGACATCGGTTCAAGCTAAGTTGCTAAAAGGATCTTATAAGGTCGAAGGCCTAAATTTGGAAGTACRAGACRATCTTTCAGATTACATTACCAAGCACAGTATATACAAGTTTTTTGCTTCCGAAGAAAGGTCGGCGAACACGGAAAATMGTGTTCTGCTCCTTAATATGGTGGAATCAATCTTTGGCTACATCCCGGGCCAGARCATTAGTATTACAAACGACGGTCTCAACGAATTTTTGAGTGCGTTAGTGGCTGTTCGGATGCTCTCGGACCACCTGCCATTGGAAATATTGGCGCAGATTGCTTGTTGTATCGAATCAACTATTCCCTTTCGTAAAATTGATGAGAAAACTGGAAAGACTCACATGCAACGACTCTATGACAACATGAAAGAGACCAGGGATTTTTTCAATCTGAAACTTTCTGATGAGGACCTAGTTGTTAGCGTACAGCGGTCTTGTTTGCTATCGAATAGTGATGTTGGGAATTTTTCAACCACCGATCGGCATTGGTTTCTAGACAATACATGGAGTTTGTTRCCAGAAACCAACGAATCCTTGCGGAATGAATACGTTTACAGTGTTGAGCACTTTCATACCGCACTGTACAAAATGTACAAGTTTTTTGGATTTTTGCAGCCGGAAGTYGTCTTTCATGAGTTTCAAGGCGTTCCCGATTTGCCCGAAATGRCTTGTATGACCCAAGAATGTAGCAACAACCTCGAGTTTGGTAGAACCTACGTTGGGGCAAAACTAGTCGCTATGAGTCTATTATCTGCTGTGGCTGTGTTAACAGATGGAGATGCACCAATTTCTTTGTTTACCGGGGATTTACGGGCAGCGAAACGCAGGGGCAGTGGGCTTGTTACGAAAGATCCATCGATGATGCAGCGTGCCCAAATGATGCAGCGCCAAACTTCAGGGCTTCCTTTTTCAAAAGTAAGGGTATCAGACTTTTTAAGACAACCGTTGCATTGCTGCGAAGACCCACCCGAGGAATCCTTGAAACAATGCAACGAAATGGTATTCCAAATCCTCGCTGAGGGTCGAAGATCCGAATCATCGTTTGACACCAAACGTTCTCCTTGGGCAGCCATGTTATACGGGTACATGGGAGACGAAGGGTTGAATCAAATTCTAACGGAGCACACTTTGTACCCAATGACTCAGGAGCATGCTTGGAATCTGTTGCGGGCACTGCCTCCGATTCCAGTTCACTCCATCGTTGGTATCATTTGTAGCCACGCACTGTCGCGTCAGGACAAGATCCTGGATGTCCTGTCGAAACTTGCAGAGGAAAATGGGGACAAATGCACGAAAGCATGAACAGAAGAATTTCGCTCATTATTACTACAACATATTAACATTATCAGATATGGCGTAAAGATGGTATTCATACAGAGATGCCTTATAATTAATCGTTATTTTCTTATTTCTCATCGATCCAAATATCGTTTCAAAAGCGCAACCAAATCGTCGGGCGCTTCTGCGTGGACCCAGTGACCGGAACCTCGAATGGTTGTCAACATGTGGTTGGGAAAATAAGACGCGATTTGATCCATGTATGCATGCCGGACAAACCGAGACTGTCCCCCGTTGATAATGAAGACGTCTCCTTCGTAGGTCGAAGACAAGGAAGATGATGGTTCGYTCACCACCAGTGCTTCCGAATCGGGCGTTAAATCAAAGCCGGCAATCTGCTCGAGCTCCTTCACCATGGTTCCTATAGGGACCTTCCACTGGTTGTTCCTGCTGTCGTAGTTCGTCAGCACGAACGCACGGAGGGCGGGGTCCGGGATGGACTTCCGGAGGGAGCGATCGATCTCTCGTTTGTTGGGCTCCTCGCCCGTTGCCTCCGCGTCTTCGATGACACCGTGCACGGTGCGGAGGATGTCTTCCACCGCCCTCCAGTGCGGATCCGCATCGCGGGTGTACGTGACCGGGGCTATGTCCAGCACGACGAGGCCCGCCACATACTCGGGATGGAGCAGGGCGAGTGCCTGCGCCACCTTGCCCCCCATGGACTGTTGCAAGGTTCGAGAAAACAGTGGCATTAGAACAAACAACGATTGGCGGAGCCGAGGGCCCGGRTCGCAACTACTGTGACAAAAATTTACGTACGTGTCCAACCAAGATGGCGTTTTCGATGTTCTGGGACTGAAGAAATTGAACCACGTCTATGGTTTCAACAYCAMGAGAAATAGCTGTCAGCCAATTGCAGAATTTCTTTTTCAAATTTCAACCCATCCAAAACGAAGTGATAATCGACGTGCACAACGACAATCGAACTCGGTGGTCTTACCTTGGGCCATGCTAGGATACGACACTATCAAAGCAAAAGAAAACGCCATGCAGAGACAATATGCGACAAAACCAAAACACGCGACGACACCGAAACAAATTCATTAGAGGAAAGGAACAAAGCATCCGCGTGCTCGCATTGCAGAGCCGGAAACGCGGCATCCGGTCGTCCACCGTTGTCGATCGATTCGTTCTTTCTCGACCGGGAGGACAAACTTACTGTTCTCGGACCACGGCTGCGTGTCGCCGTGGTTCCTCAGGTCGACACCGATGATTCTCCGTTTCTTGTCGATCTGTCTGGCCAGCATGGTGGCGCACGTSGCAAAGTTGCGCTTGCTTCCCAGCAGGCCGTGGAGAAAGAGTACGGGGGCCCGCGCCTCGCCGGATGCCTCGTCGGGGGCGTAAAACTCGATCCATTCCAGCGGGATCGCGTTCGTGGTGTCCCGCTCCAGGCAGGACGACGGCAAGCTCGAGAAAAGCAGCGGCGAACGCAACGAACGAGCCGTAGCGTGCCACGGGCCGTGGGTGGTCGAAGCCGTCCGAGATCTGTGGCGGGCTTCTCGGATCGGGCAGGGGTTGCGGTGRTGCGCGGACGGATTGGCTTGCGGGTTCGGAGCAAAGCMTTCGGCACACCGCCAGCGGTGCGTTGTGTCGAGCGCTGCCACCGCGATCCCGAGCGCGATGGACCGCATCCACCCCGGGGCCTTGCMGCTCGTTTTCCTCCGGCCCGTCGGTCTCGGTGAGCGGGACGGGGACCTGCTGTTGGTGCCTCTGCTGCCTCTTCTGCTGCTGCTGCGCGTTGTCGGTGCCGGAGCAGAATCCCGCCGTTCGAGGCGAATCACGGCGACCCGCCGCCGATCCCCGTGCGCATCGCTCGAGCAGAGSTCCCTGCACGAATCGCCGTTGGAGGCTGCACCGGAAACGGTGCCGGCCGGTCGATCGAAGACCATCTCTGTCTTCGGCGACGGCTCCGATGCCGGCTGTGCGTGTGGCTCGGCACGGGCAAACGGGACGTTCCGGCTGCCGTCGGCAGGAGACACACCAATCCTTCCGTGTGACGACACGCAGCGCGATTGCCGTAGTTTCGTTGACGAAGAGGATGGCTCTTGCTCGTGTGGATCGTTCTGTTCCCGGGTCTCTGTTTGCACCACCTTTTCGGTTGGTGGGCAACGACGAAATACACTACAGACAACAACAGGTACGGTAGTTTCACCGCACGTACCGTTACTATCTACTGATATGGGAATTATTATTGTATTCCGTAAGAGTACTTATTTTGCGTAATTGTTGCAACACGGTAGTACAGTAATGAATAATGAATTTTAGCGCCGTATTCTGTACACGTATCGTACCGGTAAAGTAGGTTGGCGACGTGTATGTTGTTGCCCTTTGGTTTCGTTTCTCATACAGGAATGTACGGTATGGTAACGTACGACGTGATTGCATACATACATACCCGTACCTTACGGTCCCAATTACATACACCACACTGTTGTGCAGTCTGCACCGCTGTGCGATGCATACAGACACGATGATATATTATTACTGCTAGAAGTACAGTATTTCATTTTACTATACAATAAAATTTGGATATAATATCTTTAGAGCAGGTGCAGTGCCGATGACAGTTTTGTTTGGGTAGAGGAGTACGGTATGCATCTTCAATATATTATTGACTTTTGAAGAGATACTACCATACTTGACCCGAAAACGTGAAAAACTCAAGTAAAGATATATGTCTTCCGCAAAAAAAATGCCAAGAACCATCCAACCTCTCCGATGTCGGTGTCTAAACGTTGTAAACTACTAACATACCTTATCGAAACATTTTTACTATCAATCGTTACAATTATCCTCTCTCCAAACTGAAACTCATGAAATCACATTTAATCTCGCTGCTAGGCATGATACGAGACACAACCGCAAATTTAATCCTTGACATGGGTGAGCCTCAAATGAGAAGCTCCCTTTGGCAAACGAATATCCTGGTTGGGTARAGGGACCTTGTTATCGAAAATGCCATATTCGGAATCSTCGACGTCGGAACCGTGGGCCTTGAGGTAACGGCGAAGCGCCTTCTCGAGTTCCAGGGAGATGAATACAATCAAACCACCCAAAAGAACAATTCCCCACTGGAATGCCTTCATCGGTGCCATAGCAAATACAACACYGTTCAAGACAGGAATGTAGGTAATGGCGAGCTGAAGAAGAGTGACGATCAAAAGGGACCACAACACTGCTGGGTTGTCCTTGAACGCACGCGGATGCACCGCATTCGAGAAAGAGAATCGCGCACTGACGGTTACGAAGCAAGCTCCAAAGGTCAAACTGTTTGATGCCTGAGAATGGACACGATCGATACAKTCCCGAGAAAATTTGTCCAAACCGTATTGATTCACAAGGATGTCTTCAGCCCAGAACGCAGATGCCACAGTGAYGAATACTAAGACAACGGTTCCTAAAGCGATACGTAGGAAGAGGAATCGACCAATGAGACGCTTTCCAACACGTCGAGGAGGAACGTCCATGATACCGTCTTCGGCCGGTTCGACAGCGGCAACGAATCCAAGAGTGACGGCGCAAATCAGGTTGCAGTACAGAACTTGAATRGCTGTAAGAATAACCTTGTCGTTTTGTGCAGTTCCTCKGTTGAATCCACAGATGATTCCAAACAATACGGAAAGACCTTGAGCATTGTTGATAGGAGTGTTGATCATAAGAACCTTACGAAGGTTGTCCCACACAACACGACCTTCCTTGACAGCAGAAAGAATAGTGGCAAAGTTATCGTCGGCCAAAATCATTTCAGCAGCCTCACGAGCGACATCAGTACCCTCCTTACCCATTGCAACTCCCATGTTGGCAGCCTTCAGAGCAGGGGCATCATTCACACCGTCCCCGGTCATACTTGCAACTTCACCTTGCGATTGCAACGCCTTCACGATTCTGATCTTATTCTCAGGGGAAGCACGAGCGAACACATTGTAAGTCATGACGGCCTTCTTGATTTCATCATCAGACATGGCATCAAGTTCAGGTCCGGTGACAGCTGCGGGGTGCTCAGTGTCGACRAGTCCAAGGGAGGCGCCAATAGCAAGAGCGGTATCCTTGTGATCTCCGGTRATCATGGCAACACGGACAGAAGCATGGTGRGCCTCTTCGATGGCAACGATACATTCGGGACGAGGTGGGTCAACAATAGCGCAAAGCCCGACCATCGTGAGCCATGGTTCCCTATCACGGACGAATTCAGGTTTCAACGCATCTCCTTGAGAAACGGATCCCTTCTTCAGAGTTCCACGCAACAACGCAAGAACTCGAAGTCCATGTGAACTCAAAATAGCAATCTGTTCTTGCCAAAAGTCRGCATTGATTGGCTCAGTCTTTCCMAGTTGTCCGGCAACTGCTTGAGTGTTGCAGAGCTTTACCATTCTGTCGGGAGCTCCCTTCACGTGAATGATGAGTTTGTCATCCATGCCAGGGCCGTCGTTTTCRGGACAGGAGTCGTGAACAGTTGCCATAAATTTGTATTCAGAGCTGAATGGGACTTCGGCGATGATAGGGYTAGCATCTTTTGCCTTGTTGACGTCGACACCAGACCAGTAAGCAGCGCGGAGAATGGAAAGTTCGGTTGGGTTACCAATCTCTCCTTCACGGGTTCCATCCTTTCCGAGGGTACATTTCGAACACATGACTCCTCCGATGAGRGCTTGCCGCCAGAATTCGGATGAAGCGCTTCCTCCCTGTCCAACTGGTGTCTTATCGTTGGGATCAATYTTGACATCGGATTCGGCTTCCACCTCTCCTTCTTCGRCAGCAACTTCGCCGCCGTTCTTCTTGGCCTCGTTGCGACGAATAACCTTGGCRATATCGGCCTTTTCGCCGAAAAAGGTGTCGTCACGAACAAGATTGTCGGGTGTTCTCTCGGTGGCATGTACGTTGTTCTTGTAGTGAGCATTGGAAGTCACAAACGCTGTCATCGACATGACATTGGTAGTGAGAGTTCCAGTCTTGTCGGAGCAGATGACGGTGACACTACCAAGTGTTTCGACGGCAGGAAGTGCACGGACAATGGCGTTGAGACCAGCCATTTTGTTGGTTGACCAGGCGTACGTCACTGTAACAATGGCTTCGAGACCTTCAGGAATCATGGCAACGGCGCAAACCAACGAAGTGTTGAGAGCCATGATAGGGGAGGTCTTGATGTGCAACCATTCGTACAAAAAGGTGATCAAGGCGACAGWCATGATGAACCCTGCGAGATAGAGGGAGATCGTGTCGATCTGCTCCAACACGGCAGTCTTGGTCTTTTCTTGACTGTTCACAAGCTTGTTGATAGTACCAATCTCTGTCTCRTCACCAGTSGCGACAGCGATACCAACACCGGAACCCTGAGCAATAAGGGTGGCACTGAAGCACATATTCTTTCTGTCTCCAAGTGGAACCTGCTTTGGTAGCTGTCCATCCKTGAGRTCGATTTTSTYCACAACCTTCTCGATAGGAACAGATTCGCCGGTAAGGGCGGCTTCGGCAGAGGCCATGTTGTTCACCTCGATGACTCGAAGATCAGCAGGGATACGATCACCAAGGCTCAAAACGACAGCATCTCCAGGAACAATCAATSCAGCGGGTACCTTTGTYTCCACGCCATCGCGRATGAGGACAGCATCAGACGAAAGCATGTTTTTCAATGCTTCGGCAGATTTTTCAGCAGAACCTTCCTGGATAAGACCGATAATGGTGTTGATACTGTAGTTATCRAATAAAACATACGATAAAAGTTGAAAAGCGAAGACATTTTTTWGGTATCAATGAACATGAGAATAATCAGACAAGTTTTGGCATCAAGAAGTGCGTATGACAAAATCATTTTGAATCCCACCAAAATTRACTTACATGATGACTCCCATGATAATGGCAATTTGAATCCAGTTGGTGTATCGAGGGTTGACCTCGTTTGGAATGACRAATGCCGAAATTAACGAGATAACAGCAACAATCACGAGGATAAGCACAAGAATATTGTTGACCTGGTTCCAGATTTTTTGAAGAAGAGTCTCCTTTTCTTTTTCGGTCAGCTTGTTTTCTCCGTATTTCTCGAGCCTCTCAGCTGCCTGCTTCGACGTGAGACCGACTTTTCGGATGTCAGCAGGGAGGTYGAGCTCGCTGATGACATCCTCTTTGCTCATGGTGTGCCATGGCGGCGGGTCGACRACAACTTTTTGTTCCTCAGCCATGATGGATCTTTGGTTTCTGTACAAAGAGCCAGATGGATTAAATTATGAGGATCTGCGGGAAGTTGGGTATTACCTCTAATTTGCTTCCGCAAGATGATTTCAAATCAAGTGCTATCTTGCCGTAGCGTATCAATGTGTAAAGGCTCGTAACGGCGGCAGAAAATACTTCGGCTCGGAAAGGAAGAAAATTATCTAGGGGGGAGCTTTAACAATCACAGCCAGTCAATTATAATAAATTTATATACATGTTTGTAGGTCATATACCGAGTGCGTCATCTTCCCAATATGGAGGAAGAGGCTTTCAAATTGTTAGGAAATTCTCATCGAATGAACGTCAGCGAAGTAGTTGAAAATTCAAATCGTGTAACGGCCACCGTCCATTGAGAAATACGTAGTAACAAACATCCATTGAGAATGATCATGGATGATGACGTACAGACGAACAAAATAATATCGTACAATACTTCGTACCGGTATGCTAATGTCAAACGAATGGTGCACATAACGAATGAACTCGCAGTCAGCTCTTTTTCGTACTGTACCCGTCAAAATCATACCGGTAAGCATACGATGATGGTGACAAGGAGGGTCATACTAGTAATTTAGAGGGGAGGGCATCGAATCGAAATTTCGTGAAATTTCATATTCCACGTATGGTCCAAATTTCCAAAAAGTCACCCCAGGATATTTTTTAGTAGTATTTTTTATTTCTCATTTTTACAGCATAGTACTAGTAAAAATATCCAACCTTTAAGCAGTTACAGCTTTATCAAAAATACTACTATTTAAATTTTGACTAGTCAGTTGAAGACTAGCCCTGCAAGCCCAGCTTTGAACGCTGATTCTGAATATACCATTTTTTCGGATATTAATTTGATATTTGTGGTACTACTCTAGTACTAGTATTTTAGTACTGTTGAATAATGAACATGATAGTTTTCCACAACCATACTACTAGTAGTAGTACTATGATGAGTTTTACCTCAGTACCAGTATTAACAGTAGTAGTAATTGACATTCACCACAAAGACTCTTTTTGAGAGAGTGGTAGTTGACTTGTTGCTATGATTACTTACTTCTTCTTGTTCATCACTCGATTCTCCTACTAGTACTACTACTAGGAGTGGTGTTGGAAACTTGCTCTGTTGAACCTTCTCTATTCCCTTGTGCTGTTGTTTTTGTGAGCTGCTGCTTGTCCTGTATCCTTTGCTACATTATATGCAGCAGCATCTGTGAATCAGAAAGGGTAGTAGCTATTGTGACGACAATACTTCTTGCTGTCCTCTTTTCAACAACAACAATTGTTGTTGTTGCCGGTTTGTTGCTTTACTACTACTAGTACMAGGAGAAGTAGAAGTGGGATAACTAATAGCAGCTACTGCTGGTGAAATATCACTAGTTTTACTCATGTTGATGCAATGCTCACCATGTTCAAGGTAGAAACATTCTTGCTGGCTTTGGCACTACTAGAGGAAGTAGTGATGATAACACTTGCCCTGCTGCTGGTGGCACTCTTATTGTTCTTTGTAGTTGGCCAGTTTATGGCATTTTTAGATTAATTCTTCTTCTGTTTCTTGGGGACAAGGGCTATACCATATTTTAGAGATACAGCAATATACATTTTTGCTGCTGTGGAACCACTATTAACAGTACTACCACTACATGATTGCATTGTACATTTTTAATCCTATTTGTACATATATATCAATATATTCAACTAGTACTAGGACACCCCAATTCCTCCATATGACTAGAATCTTCTCTTAATTCTCTTTCTAAGCATGTGCCTAATAATTGTTGTTAGTAAGCGTCTATTGGGGACCAGGATACAGCTCAAACTGTCAGTTCAAGACTAAAACAGATACAGTTAAATAGCACAGTGCATAGTAGTAGTAGTACTAGTAGATAATGGCCCATCTTTTTACCATGTAGTAATGACTCATGGGATAAAAAATTTGACTTGTACTAGTAGTGCAGCAATAGCGCAGGCAAGCAAAACTATTTGGTTGCAAGACTGAAACTATCTGGTTGCAAAGCTGGTGGTGGGAATGAAATTCAGCACATGCCCTCCTGCTGTAAACTTAGTAGAAGAAGTACAATTCAGTATTTTAGTCACAGTAGTAATTACATACAAAAGTAAGGGCCCAAAATCTACAACTGTACGTACTATTATTGGCGGAGTGATTCTGGTCAAACCATTTGTACATTTTTCATCCTATATTCATAAGCGCATCATATTGATATGTTCCACTACTAATTCCCCCCAACTCCCACATACTGTTAGAAAGCTCTTTTTACTGGAAATCAATTCGTGTGCCTATCATACTTAAGCATCTGTTGGGGACAAAGTTATAGCAGTTAGCTTCAGTTGAACCTCTCTTAATGTTCTGTGTGTTTTTCTACTGTGCATTAATTTTGGGCTTTCTTTTTATTGTGTAACAATGACTCGTGGGATTAAAAATTGACTTGTACTAGGGCTACTGGGATTGAAAAGTTCAACACTACTACTGAGCACTTGCATTTGTATGAATTTAGTTTTTTTAGGAGTCAAAGTAGTCATTAGTACATGCAAAATATGGGCCCAAAACCTATGACTGGTTTGTATATTCCATAGCCAAGAACTACTATACGATACAATAATCGGATCAACAATACTACTACTAGTGCTGGTGCTACTACTACTACTACTACTACTACTACTACTATTGTTGTTGATAGTGTTTACTGTATTTACCAGAACAAGTACTGGCCACTAGTACTAGTAGTAGAACTTCTAGTGTAGGAAAACAATTTCTTTTGTATGTTTTGTCATCCTACTACAGTCTTATTGGCTACAGTGCACCAGACTGTCACCTACACTTTTACACAGGAGCCAGTACCCTTGATGATTCTCACTGCTCTGGACTTACCAAAGAAACAAAAAATGTTTTTGTGTAGAATCCATGTAGTAGACCTCAGTACCCCAAAATAGCAAAGAAATTAGTACCATGACACTTCATTTCAAAATATTGGTAGTTTGGACAGAAACACTTCTTAAGGCAGTCATTTCAAATTCCCATGACTTTATGTTCAGTCATTATTCTGATCAGACATTCCAAAATTAAATAGAACCCAATTCCCCCCAAGAATTAAAAACCAGTTGTTGCTGTCATCAGTCATACCAAAATATCAGAGAGGAAACCAATTCCTTCCTCTCAAGACTCAAAAAATCAGTCATTGTTTTCATTGGTCATTTCAACAAGATTTAAGAGAACCATATCCTACCAAGATTCAGAAAAATCAGTCATTTTTATCATCAGTCATTTCAAAATTCTTTAAGAGAACCAAATTCCACCAAGACTCACCTACAAAATCAGTCATACTATTAATCAGTACTAGTACTGCTGTAGATGTAATTCTGAAATTAGGCTAAAGAGAACCCAAATCCTACCAAAAATCAAAAAGTTCAGTCACTGGTCATTCTACTAACATGAAATAGAACCTAATATCTCCCAAAAAGACTTCTTGAAAAATTCTCAGTCATAGTTGTGACCAGTCATTCTGAAATTAAAGAGAACCAAATCCCCCAGAAATTGCACTTCTTGTTGAATGTTCAGTCATTCATCTCATTATTGTTGGTCATTCCAAAATCTAAGAGAACCCAATTCCTCCCATGACTTGCTGGATATTCAGTCATTACTGGAATTTGTCATTCTAAGACTTAAAACAACCCAATCCCTCCAAAGACTTAGTGGTAGTTGAATATTTAGTACTATTTAGTCATTAGTAGCATCACCATTGGTCATTGCAAAATTAAAGAGGAACAATTCCTTGTCAGCTCCTCAAAACTTGACAGAGTACGTCTCACTGCTAAGACAAGCAGAAATTGTGAAAGGGGCTATGGCCATGACCAGGGTGGTCCCATTGCACCCAAACACAAAAATACTAGGGGCAGCTTTCTTGTCTTTGGCTATAATGGGCACAATGCACCAGCCAAGACTGAGGATGCAGAGGACAAAGACACTACTGGTGATGTCTTGTTGGACAAGTTTGAGTCGTAATGATGCAAGAAGCACTGCCAGTTGGGGAGCAACAATTCAGAGCATACTACTAGCAAGGCCAACACCAACACCAAAAACCTCCATAACAACATTTGGTGGGTGCCAACCTTGCATATGGGGGGGCAACTACTACACAAATGAGGAGTCATTATCATGGTTGGCCATTCCAAAATGAAACTGGTTAATTGTAGAAGAAAAAAGAATCCTACTCCAAAGACAAAATAAATTCAGTCACAATCCATACAAGTAAAACCATCAAAACAGAATTGACTAGCAAAAAAATTACTGGAAATAGTGTGATTGTTGAATTATTAACTGCAATGCTCTATTATGACAAGAGCAATATATTGGCACAAAAAGATTTCAATCAATGAGACTCAAAATGCCAGAAAAATCAACTGGTATGAGAACAACAATGGAGGATTTGGATACTGTCTTACTGGTGGGAACAGTGACAGCAATAATCCTAATGAAATTGATAGTTCCATTGTTTGATAACTGTAGGAGCACCATTTGGCCAGATGTCATTCCAAAACTTTGTGACAAAGCATTCCTAGTATCAATGCAACAAATTGATCCAAGCTACAACAGCACTATTGAGCACCTTGGTTTGTCCACTTAATGATTCTAACATTGCTGATACCACTGATGTTACTACAAACATCACAGCAAGTATGGTTTGTATTACAATGCAAAAGTTACAATCATTTTTCTCAGCATCACATTTTCCTCATTGTCGCTTATGCTAAGCCAAAACTAGTACTAGTAGTATTGAAAGCCACCACCTTTTGCAATTGTAAATGGATTACTGACAGCAGGTGATTCCCCAGAACATCTAACAAAACCAAAATACTACTACTACTACTACTACTACTACTACTACTACTACTACTACTACTACTACTGCTGCTGCTGCTGCTGCTGCTGCTGCTGGAACTGGCTCTCATTTTAAAGAAAACAAGAGGGCAAATAAATATTTGTTTCCTTACACAACAGGTGCACACAAAAGTATCCAGGTTATTAAAAAATCTTAATGTTAATTTTCCTCATCAACCACTAATAGAAGATGAGGCATGAGGTGTGTCAGGACCATGATCATAGCTTCTGAGGATAATAATGCTCCTACTGGTCACTCCAAGGGGCAGCACCTCACTCCAAGGATAATTAGTGGAGGCACACCAATAACTCAAGGGGGCAGGAGGCTGGTTGGGTTGGTGTTGATGAAAACCTGTGTCATTGTTTTTGCTGTGTTTGTGCTGCAGTAGCAGAGGCTAAAGAAGTGTCTGGCAAAGCAGTGGTGTCTTTTCCTCTTCCGGTGGGACGAGTATGCATAAAAGACCAGCTACTACTAGTCTCGTGTAACACTTTCCAGTGGGTGTTTACTGTGAGGCAAGGATGGAAAATACTGGGTAATAGGACATGTGTTTGAGACAGGGGACACAAGTGAGTCATTATACTAGATACATGGTGCAAGAATTGTGTTCTTGTTGTTGTATGCTTGGAGGTAGTACAACAACCATGTACATAGAAGTACTAGCAGCTTGAGATGAAATGGTTTCAGGTTGCATGTGAGAGGCAAGTCTGTGGTTGCAGGACAAAAAAGTTGCAGACTTTTGTTGTCAGTCACCTTTGTTACAGTGCTTGTTTCTGGGAAAGGAACAACAGATTCCTAACATCCAGATTATTCATACTCTCTTTGTTGCTGGCAGTGATGTTGAGAAAACAAGAAATAATTCTGGACTAGTAACATTGCAAATGTTGATTTGCCTGATGATCAATCTGGGGGAAGTCTGTTCAAGTGGTATTAGTGGGAAATTTCACCAGCAGTGATCAGCAGTAGATGCTTGCACTAGTAGTACTAGTATTTTTGAATGGTAATTTACCTATTGTTCTTGTTTGTATGTGACACCAATCAACTCAAACTTGAGGGAGGAGACTAGCCATATAGTTTAGCTTTACATGTATTCAAGTCAAGAATGAAAAAAAAATGGGTACTGGGATTGTGAAGTCATTAACATTAACAGATATTTTGTTCGATGAGAAGTAGATGCTGAGATGGTTGAATAGATAAGGGGACTCAAGAAGAGTTCAAATAGAGTGAGGATCACTTCAATTTCTCATAACACTGCACAGCAACTGGTGTAGCAGCAACAAATGCTAAGAAATGTTGATATCGTCCTTAAGAACAGTATGAACAAAAAATTACCCATCCTCAAATTCAAACTTAAACAAGAAGTGACACTGGAGAGCACTTAACTCAATTCCCAACAATCAATATTGCTAAACAAGAACTGTTTACCAAAAGTATTTAGAAAATGGGTTGGTTTCAGCCTGGTCTTACACAAGTAATTGGATTCAGTATGTTGTGCTCCTTCAAGTAGCTAGCTAGTACTAGTAGCAGTACCACAAATCAAAGATCTCGTCCATCATTCACATTTTGGAAACAACAAGAACAAACAGCCACAGTTGTTTTGTTTATTCCCACCTTTGTACTCACTTTATTTTTGCACCATGGTTACTAGTACTTGTGTTAGCTTTTTCCTTAACATGTTGGTGGTGGGTTCTTGAAGAAATAGTAGTTTGTTCTTGTCAAAGAAGTATGGTACCGTATGGTGCCAGGTAGTAGGTAATTTGGGAGGAGGCAAGAATTTCATTTTACTCCTAGTACCGTATGTACGTACCTGCGTGGCATTTGGGTCTGTATTTGTCTCCTCACAATTATACATACCGGTACGATTGAACCTTGGCGCCCATGGTTCTGTGCATGGTTCTGGGCCCTCCGGAACCAACAAGTGTGGGTCCCCCTTTTGAATACTAATATTGGGGGTATGATTTCGTGTTTTTTTTCAAATAAAATAACCCACGTTTCTAAAACATGGGTTATTATTCACAAAAAATATCCCATGTTTTAAAACGTGGGTTCCTGGGTTCCTGGGTTAACCCACGAATAACCCACAAAATAACCCATGAATAACCCACGAAAAATCCACAAACCTGCTGGGCCTTTTCCAAAAATTAAAAACAGTGATTAAATAACGTTAATGACTAAAATACTTAACATCCCTGGTTCTCCATCAACCTAGGTGACTGTAAATTCGTGGGTTATTCGTGGGTTATTTCGTGGGTTATTTCTTTTGGGTTCCTGGGTTATTTCGTGGGTTATTTTTCAAATTAAAAAACCCATGTTTTAGAAAAGTGGGTTATTCTTCCCATGAAATAACCCACGTTTTAGTGTTTTTCTAGGGGAGGAATTCGAAAAGGGGGATGTGCGCGTGGGTACCGGAGGGCCCTGTGCATGATCTCCAAAAACTTGTGGGAAACTCTCAATTCAAACACTGACGAAGTACTCCGTTGTTCGACGAAGGTCGTTAATTCTTTTCGGAAGATGGGGAAAATTTCGGGTAGTTGTCATGGTCATAAATTGTATTCGGAAGATGAAGAGAATTATTTCCGGTAGAAGGAGACAAGGAAAGAGAATATGCTTGGTCTCCATACTCGTACTTGTTGCAATCGTTTCCCATGTTGGCGTCATCTTTGCACCGACGTTCGCTCTGATGCCTTTGACAGGGGCGAGTTGTCAATCACGAAC